GACATGCTGCTAAAAAAAACAATAGAACAAAAGCTAATCTATATGATCATTTGAATAGATACAGAAGAAGCATTTGACCAAATCGACATCCATCACTGATAAAACCTCTCAGCAAACTACAAATAGAAGTGATCCACCTGGAGCAAGTGATAGAAGTGATCTTCCTTCAACTAATTAAGCATATCTGTAAAAACTGAATAGCTGGGCCAGGCATGGTGGCTTATACCTGTCATCCTAGCACTTTGGGAGGCTGAAGTAGGAGGATTCCTTGAGGCCAGGAGTTTGAAACTATCCTGTACAACATAGTGAGATCCCAAGGCTACAAAAATTTTTAAAAAATGAGCCAAGCATGGTAGCCACATGCCAGTCATCCTCGATACTCAGCAGGCTGAAGCAGGAGGATTGCTTGAGCCCAGGAGTTTGAGGTTGCTATGAGCTATGTTCACATCCCTGCACTCCAGCTTGGGCAACAGAGAAAAATCAATAGCTACCCTCATATTTAACGGTAAAAGAATAAATATTTTCTCTTAAGATCAGAAACAAGGTAAGGATGCCCACTCTCACTAATTCTATTCAATATTGTACTAGAGATTCTAGCCAATGTAACAAGGCAAGAAAATGAATGAAAATCATCCATATTGAAAAGGAAAAGATAAAGCTGTATTTATTTGCAGACAACATGATAATCTATGTAGAAAATCCTCCAAAACATTAAAAAGAAGTGACTACAATGAATAAATGAGTTCAGTAAGTTTGCAGGAGTTAGTGTGGGGAAAAAAATCAATCATCTTTCTATAGCCTAGCAAATAACAATCAAAAACTGAAGTGAAAAATACCAAAATATCATCCCAAAATATCAAACAGGGATAAAGATGGGCAATATGCATACACTGAAAACTATGAAACATTGCTAAGAGAAATTAGAGGATCCCTAAACAAAAGAAGTGATATACTATATTTATGTATTGGAAAACTCAATATTGCTAAAATGTCAGTTTTGCCCAAATTGATGTAGTGATTCAGTGAAATCCTTATTAAAATCCCTGTAGATCTTTTTACAGAAATTGACAAGTTGATTCTAAAGTTCATATGGAAATGCATGAGATCTAGAACACCCAAAACAACTTCGAAAAGAAGAACAAAGTTAGAGAAAGTACAGTACTTGATTTCAAGGCTTCTTGTAAAGCAACAGCAATCAAGACAATGTGGAATTGGCATCCAGGTATACCAAGAGATTAATGGAACAGTAGAGTGATTCCAGAAATATTTGGTCAGTTTATTTTTGTCAAAGGTGTAAAGGTAATTCAGTGGAGAAATCAGTCTTTCAACAAATGGTACTGGAATAATTGGATATTCATATTAATCTACATGTCATACCATATGAAAAGTTAGCTCAACATGGATCGTAGACCTAAATGTAAAGCTAAAATGCAAATGTAGAACCTAACACTGTATAACTTCTATGAGAAAACCTTTCTGACTTTAGATTGGGTGAAGATTTTTTAGCTACAAAGCCAAAAGCATGATCCATAAAAGGAAAAAATGATAAATTGGACATCTTCAAGATTAAAAATTTCTAGTCTTCAAAAAACAAGCCATTGACAGAGAATATTTACCAATTACATATCTGATAAAGGACTTGTATCCAGAATATATATTTTTAAAAGCTCTCAAAACTCAGTAATAAATGGAATGAAGTTTCAGCTAGACCAGAGGAATAAATTCTAGAGTTCTTTTGTATATTTATTATGACTATAATTAATAATAATATATTATATAAAACAAAATAAAATAAATGTCAGCTTTTGATTATGTTTTGTAATATATTTTCTCTTTTCTGGGCCATTGTAGATACTCATTTGTTAATTCCATGGATGGATGAATAAATAAATGTCAATATGCTCATATTAAAAAAATGCATTGTCTATTTGAAAATTGCTAAGAGAGCAGATTTAAATGTTTTCGCCATGAAAACATAAGTGCACAAAGTGATGTATTCTTTATTGGTACATAATATTTTACATATTTATGGGGTACCTGTGATACTTTGTTGCAGGCATAAAATGTGTAATGATCAAGTTCAGGTATTTGGGGTATCCATCAACTTGAGTACTTACCATTTCTACGTGTGGGGAACATTTCAAGTCCTCTCTTCTAGCTTTTCTGAAACATGTAAGACATCGTTTGCAAATGGTCAACAGGCATATGGAAAAATGCTCAGCATTGCTAATAATCAGCGAAATGCAAATCAAAACCACAGTGATGTACATGTTAATTAGCTTGATTTAATCATTTCACAGTGCATACCTATAATACAACATCACATTGTACTCCATGAGAATATATCACTTTTCTCAATTAAAAAACTCAGTAATAATAAAATAAGCAACCCCACTAAAAAAGATTTGATTTGGGCAAAATATGTGAACAGGCACACCACCAGAGACATTATAGAATATCTAGAAGCATCCAAAAGGGTGCTCACGGTGGCTCACGCCTGTAATCCTAGCACTCTGGGAGACTGAGGTGGGTGGATCGCTCAAGGTCAGGAGTTCAAAACCAGCTTGTGCAAGGACAAGACCCTGTCTCTACTATAAATAGAAAGAAATTGATTGGCCAACTAATATATATAGAAAAAATTAGCTGGGCATGGTGGCGCATGCCTGTAGTCCCAGCTACTCGGGAGGCTGAGGCAGGGGGATCCCTTGAGCCCAGGAGTTTGAGGTTGCTGTGAGCTAGGCTGACGCCACGGCATTCACTCTAGCCTGGGCAACAAAGTGAGACTCTGTCTCAGAAAAAAAAAAAAAAAGACAAAAGGGTGCTCAACAGCATTAGTCAGTAGGAAGATGCAAATTAAAAACCACAATGAGACATAACATACCTATTAGAAAGGCTAAAAATAAAAAATCTCATTGCACCAAATGTTGGTGAGGACATGACGCAACTGGAATTTCCATGCACTACTAGGGGGAATATAAAATGATAAAATCTCTTTGGAAAACAGTTTGGTACTTTCTTAAGTTACAATATGACCTACATACATCTACCATACATATGTCTACCATATGACCTAGGCATTTGACTCTTTGGTAATATTTACCCAAGAGACGTGAAAGTCCATACGAAGACTTTTACACAAATATTCATAGCAGCTTTGTTGGATTTTTAAAATGCATTTTATTTAATTTTTAACTTAAAAAAATTTTTTATTACTATCTTTTCTCATGGATCAAGGAGTACATATCAGCTTTATTTGTAAGAACAAACGTGGAAACAATTCAAATGTCTATCGACAGGTGAATGGATTAAAATATTGTGTTATATCTATTTAACAGATTACTACTGAGCCATTAAAAGGAATGAACCACTGATATATATACTACAATATGGACAAATCTCAAAAACATGCAGAATGAAAGAAGCTAGACCCCTCCCCCCTAATAAAGAGTTCATACTCTTTTGCATGGAATCATACATATGATTCCATTTGTATGAAACTCTAGAAAATTCAAACTAATCTATAGTGACCAAGAGCAGATAAGAGGTGGCTTGAGCGCAGGGGAGTGGGGTGGGTAGGAAGGAGGGGTTACAAAGGGTCACGTGGAAACTTTGGGGATTGTTGGATAAGTTTACTATCTTGATTGTGATGATGTTTTTTAGGTGTATATATATCAACTTACCAAATTGTTTGCTTTTAATGTGTGCAATTTATTATAATTTAATTATACTTAATAAAACTATTTTAAAAAACCTTATGGAGTGGGGCAGGAAAAGTTCTTAAACTCTCTGAGACTGTCTCAGTTTATGAGGTTACTAAGATGGTTGAACACATGTATTTATCTCCTGCTTCAATGACAATTAAATAAAAGTTTTTTAAAGATATAAACATATATTTGCTAAGATATGAGATCTTAAACTTTCTCACCACACACAAAAAAATGATAAGTATGTGAACTGATGGATAGGTTAGTTAGCTTGGTTGTCATATTCATTTTATAGTGTATACATATATCAAAATATCATGGCATATGCTGTAAATATCTGCAACTTTTATTTGCCAGTTATCCCTCAGTAAAGCTCTAGAAAGGCCCCCAAACAAACAAACAAACAATAAAAAAATATAAACATAAAGGCAAAGAGAATGGAGGAGGAGAACATAACAAAATTTTGAGAGCTTTAAAAGAGACGAGGAAAGCTGAATCGTAGCTGGAGGTTGAGAAAGCCGAGAGGCAGCCTGCTTTCCACTGTAGGACCCTCAGAAGGGTATAAATTGCCAGCACCAGCCCCCAGAAGACAGGTCACGGGCAAGAGGAAAAGTCTCTGGGGAATCTGACCAGCCTATGAGGAAAGACCTAAAGATAAACGTACAGAGAGTATCAGGCAACAGCCCACACCATGTGCACAGAGCTTACGACGCACACACTGCCTAGGATTGTCAGTCATTTGGGCAAAACATCTAAATAATAGAACAGAAAGTCAGGAGGAGAGAAGGAATCAAAGAAATAATTCAAGGAAACTCCAGAAGAATATGAATTTCTAGATCGGAAAGGCCCACCGAGTACCTGGTGCAGTGGGTGAAAATAGACTGTCAACAAGGCACACGCTTTTGAAAATTTTAGGCACTGGTTACAAAGACAAGATTCTACAGGCATCAGTAAAGAAAAAAAGAATGGCTCGTGCACAAATAATCATTTCCTCAGTCACACTAGCCTCATTTTAAAAGCTTAATAGCCGCATGTAGCTAGCAACTGCTGTATCGGACAGCACAGGCATAGAACATTTCCACCACCGCAGATCATTTCATTGGATAGCCCTGCTCTACCTACCTCTGCTCTTGACTTAAAATAGACTTGCCTCTATGAAATTGAATTTCCTCCATACTTCCGTGTTGGCCAACCTTCCCTGATTACATTTTGTTTCTTGTTTTGTTGTACGATAAAAACATATTTCTTTTTAAAGTGTACATGTATCAACATCATTGTTCTTATTTTGTTTTACAGTTCTTTTTTCAGCGATGACATTTGGGACTATTACAAATCAAGATCTGCCCGTGATCAAGTGTGTTTTAATCAATCATAAGAACAACGATTCATCAGTGGGGAAGTCATCGTCACATCCCACGGTAAAGTAATATTAAAATTATACCTTTAGCTGTTTTTCTCTAGAGACCATACTTTATGAGCTATTGAAACCTACCATGCTTAAATGAGCTTTTCTTTTTTATGCATTTAAGTTTATCATGTGCTCACATCTGGCACAGATGCAACATCTATACTCCTAGCCACCTGGCTCTCCATTCCATCAAGAGCCATGTTCTTCTTTGGGTGTGGATGCAGGAAGGGCACTGACTGATACCCAGCACGAAGCAGTAACCAGCACACTCTTCCTTTGATACCCTTGGGGGATTGGTTCCAGGACTCCCATGGATGCCAAAATCCATGGATGCTCAAGTCCCTGATTAAAAAAAAGCATAGCCTTTGCATATTACCTATGTATGCACATCCTCCCATATATATTAAATCATCTCTAAATGATAAAACCTAATCCAATGTAAATGCTATGCAAATAACTGTTATACTGTATTTTTAACCACTTCGGTACCAGCGTTGACTACAGTCGACAACCAAAAGCTTTTACTTTTACAGCTTTTATCTCTGCAGTTGCAGTGTGTACGTTCAGCTAGTAAGTTACTACGAATCTGTGACCTTTTAACAAGCCCTTAGTAAGAGTTATTATACTTATTTTCCTAAAGCTGCCTGTAAAGTAAAACAAGCTTTCGGTGCTTTAAAGCTTTCCTCATCACACAAGAGCAAAACGGATCCGTCGTCAATGCGCAGCACACACTACCGTGCGGACTGTGAGTGCCAGCTGGGGGCGAGGAGTCGCGGCTGGGGAGCACCGTACCGAAGTGGTTAAAGGAATAATGACAAGGAAAACAGTCCGTACGTGTTCGGTACAGATGCAACCATCCATTTTTTTTTTTCCCCTGAATATTTTCAACCTGTGGTTGGTTGAATTCATGGGTGGAGAATCCACAGTTTCGGAGGGCTGACTGCGTTTCCTTTTCTCCTTGAAGAGAATCTGTGCTTCTCTCCCAAACCTCTATCCCTAATTTCCAACTGCCCCCGTATATAAATAGATTTTCCACTTGCACATTAAATCCACCTATATGATTTATTTCATTTCTATTTCCCTATACCTGCTCTTGTTCTTGTATTAATTGATTTCTGTTTATGCTCCCATCGAGTTCCCAGGCTTGAAAGCTCAGCATCATTTTGGACTCCTTCCCCTCCCTTGCCTTCACGTTCGGTCAGTTACGAGGTCTTGTCAAGTCCCTTTAATGGTTCTCCTACAGTCACCTCATGTTCTCTAGTCTCACAGCCACTTTCCTGATTCAAGCCCTCACTAACTCCCTCATAATCACAACAATATCGTATTCCTCCCAGATATGGCTGCCGGCCCAGCCTTCCTGACGCGCGGCCACCACCCTTCACTGCCTGGCTCCGAACCTCAGTGACTTCCCACTGCTCAGGCTGGTACTCACGTGGCTCCATAATCTGGCCCTGGCTCCTTCAAGCTCCAGCCTTGTTCTTCATCACTCCCCTCTTATGCTGTTCATCTAACATAGCTATTCCCGCCTCTCTACCTTTTTTTTTTTTTTAACATTTAGTGAATTTACTTGAAGGAAGCTTAAATGGTAGAGAACTGAAAATAGTAGACATCTATATACAACAAAAGTGAACATAAATTAGCCAACTCCATGGAAATTTCCAGTTAAGGATTTATACAAATAGTTGCCCTATTTTCTTTTAAATAGGCATAAAACGTAAATATGTAATGTGATGACGTGCTCCCCTCAAATCAGAGATGTTAGAGACATTCTCAAGTTTTAAAAACAATGTGAAACAGGTTTAATAACAACATTCTACATAAATGTAAAACCTCCAATTTAATACATGATTTTTGATAGGGAACAACGGCTCATGCCTGTAATCCTAACACTTTGGGAGGCCAAGGCAGGAGAATGGCTTGAGGCCAGGAGTTCAAGACAAGCTTGGGCAACATAGTGAGACTCCATGTCTACAAAAAATTGAAACATTAGCCAGGCCCCGTGTACTTGGGAGGCTGAGACAGGATTACGTGAGCCCAAGCGTTCAAGGCCACAGTGAGCTATGATCCAGACACTATATTCCAACCTGGGTGATGGAGATCCTGTCTCTAAAAACATTAAATAAATAAATAAAACACAATCTTAAAAAATTAATGATGATTGATCTTGGTTCCTAGTAATAAATCCTATGTGTGTGTGTATATATATTATTTTATTATATATATATTTTTTTTTTTTTTTGAGACAGAGTTCTCACTTTGTTGCCTAGGCTAGAGTGAGTGGCTTGGCGTCTCGACCTAGCTCACAGGTACCTTATCTCTGGCTCAGACGATCCTTCTGCCTCAGCCTCCCGAGTAGCTGGACTACAGGCATGCGCCACCACAATGCCCGGCTAATTTTTTCTATATATATTAGATGGCCAATATTCTTTCTATTATAGTAGAGACCGGGTCTTGGCTCTGCTCAGGCTGTTTTGAACTCTGACCTCAGCAATCCGCCCACTCGCCTCCCAGAGTGTAGGATTACAGGCGTGACCAGAATCTATTCCGTTTTTTATATTTTCCCACTTAAAAGTGAAGTAGATTGTGAGCGTTTCAGTGGCTTAAAAAAAATAAAAGGGCTAGGCGGGGCGCGGTGGCTCACGCTGTAATCCTAGCTCTCTGGGAGGCCGAGCGGCGGAATCTGAGTTCAGGAGTTCGAAAACCAACCTGAGCAAGAGCGAGACCCGTCTCTACTATAATAGAAACATTAACTTGGCAACTAATATATATAGAAAAAATTAGACGGGCATGGTGGCGAATGCCTGTAGTCCCAGCTACTCGGGAGGCTGAGGCAGGAGGATTGCTTGAGCCCAGGAGTTTGAGGTTGCTGTGAGCTAGGCTGATGCCATGGCACTCACTCTAGCCTGGGCAACAAAGCGAGACTCTGTCTCAAAAAATAAATAAATAAATAAATAAAATAAAAGTTTAGATTTCTCCCACAGTTCACAGTTCTCAGATGAGACAGCTTTCTGGAAATTTCTGGTCTGGGGATGTTTTGAATAACCAAGCATTCTTTATACCACAAAACTTGTCGTCGCAACTGAAATAGGTAGGCATCTGCATCCTCAGCTATACTGCCAGTGTATCCTGGCACCACAGTGAGATAGTTTTACTGTTCCCACAATCAAATTAACTGCTGTTTAAAATCTGAATATTTCTATCACTTATAATCTCTGTTTGGGGTGATAGTTCTGACCACCTCTTTTTATGACTGCTTGAAAGCAGCATAGACCAACTGTTACATAGTCTTCAAATTTGCTTTTGAGTAATGACTTTACTAGAAACAGCAAGTCTACACAGCAGCCAGGTGAGATGTGCTGTTTATCTCCCTGTGAACTGTTGGAGAGACAGGCAGGCATCCACTACAACTGGAAGGTTACCCCTCCACACCAAACAGCTACAAGTTCATTCACTTCTCTTGCTCCAGAAAGTCAAAGCTGCACGTAGTCTCAAATTCCTCCTGAACAGAACCGTGCCATCACATCAAAGGCCTGAGAAACCCGAATAAAACAAAACAGAAGCACAAAATCCCCACTGTTCTAATGATGGGTTTTCTGTCTGGGAAGACGCAAAATCACTGGAGTTTACCAAATGTGTTTGACCACCATGGCCTCATATTTCAGGCAGGTGGCCTGCATCGGCCAGCTCATTTCCTTTATTTCCCTTGTCACACTTCCCACTTCTAGACAACACGTTTTTTTGAGGGGTCTTTGTTTGTTTTGGTGTTTTGTTTTTTTTGAGACAGGGTCTCACTTTGTTGCCCAGGCTAGAGTGAGTGCCGTGGAGTCAGCCTAGCTCACAGCAACCTCAAACTCCTGGGCTCAAGCAATCCTCCTGCCTCAGCCTCCTGAGTAGCTAGGACTACAGGCACATGCCACCATGCCCGGCTAATTTTTTCTCTATATATCAGTTGGCCAATTAGTTTCTTTCTATTTATAGTAGAGACGGAGCCTCGCTCTTGCTCAGGCTGGTTTTGAACTCCTGGCCTGGAGAATCCGCCCGCCCGTGTTGGCCTCCCAGAGTGCTAGGATTACAGGCGTGAGCCACCGCGCCCGGCCTTTTGTTTGTTTTTTTCCTGTAACAAGGATTTGGAAAAGAATGACGGACTTTCTCTGAGCAATAGATCACCTTACATAGCTTCTCTGGATTCTGCACAGCTTGTCCAGCTGTTTTATTTATGTAAGCAGAGAACTGTGTTAGAGATTTCTTAGGCAACTTCACGTCCTTACCATTTAGTGATTGTTGTTCTAAGAAGATCAATGGAGTGAACATCACTGTTATTACAAAAGTTCCATTTTTTTAACACTATGGGTTTTATTTTATTTTATTTTATTTTTGAGACAGAGTCTCGCTTTGTTGCCCAGGCTAGAGTAGAGAAAACCCCACTCTCTCCTCTAATTAACTTGGGATGAGTCAGGACTAAGGTGTAACCCTTACATGAATATAGTATCATACCCATGAATGCAAATCCCATGATGCCGCAAGTCCTGATAAAAAAAGCAAGCCTTTGCATATTACCACTGTAAATGGCACATCACGTCACACTAATTTTCATTCCTATAGCAATTGAAATCCAATTACAAAAAAAAAACAAGCGATCGAAAGACCCTGAAGACCAAATCCAATGTAAGCCCAGCACCATAGCAAACTCAATACATTGAATAATCAAGATCTACTTCGGAGCATATTTAACCCACATGATCACCCATTATCGTACCAGCGATCTGACTACAAGTCGAATTCAGCACAAAAGACTTTTTAGCAATATTACAGCTTTACTCTGAGAGACTATTGCATCGAGATGGTAACTGATCTAGCCCTCGTAGAATGAGCTGAGCCAGAATGTACTACAAGCATAGTGACCCTATGGTTTAACAAGCCTTAGTAATAACCAGTTAGTATACTTACATTACCACTAAATGCTACCTAGCAACCAATAATACAGCAAAATCGTCGTATATACCGAAACTT